TCCACCGAGAGCTTCCTGTAAGCCGGGTAAACCAAGGCAGAGAGGGGAGAAAAGCAGCCTCTGCCCCGAGGCCCGAGCTAAACTGCAGGCACTGGGGCTCCAGCCTCCGACTGCTCTGCTCGGTAGTTGTCTGCCGGCGAGCCCTGCCACTCTGCTGGACGCCTGGCCTGCTGCCTCCTGGCTTGTCAGGTCCTGCTGCCACCTTTAGCCCCACTGGACAAGCCCTTTCACACCTGTCCTGGGCCTGGTGACAGTGAAGGGTGGGTCAGCATGAATCTAGAGTTCTCCACCAGAAAAACAACCCAGTCCACATTCCGCCCATGCGGCTACGGGAATTAACTTTATTGTGGGAAGGACAAGCTGCTGTGAGGTTTGGTTGCAGGACTTAACCTGTGTGGTTTTAGGATTAGGGTTGGGGTGGGAGGGGTGAAGTTGCAGGCAGAGGAGAATAAGAGGGGCAGGTAAGGAGCCCAGGCTTGATCAAAGGTGAGACTCTGCTCCCTGGCCTGTTGCCGGGGAAGCTGGCACCGGGCCTCTGTTCAGTGTAGCCAGAAAGAAGTGAGAGGTTAGCGGCAGAACCGCACATAGGAGCTGGGTGAGGGCGAGGTGTGGTCATTGGAAGCCAGGGAGTGAAGGTCATTGGCCTTAACAGGTGCCAGCAGATAAATGGCCCCTCTCACCTGCCTTTTGCTTTTCTTACTAACCTTTGCTCGGCCTCCCTCCTCTGCCTGTGTCAGCCCCTCCCATCCACCCAAGTCTAGCTCTGAACTCTCAGCTCACATCAACTGCCCGGAAAGTCTGAGCCAGCTGCTCCTGCCCACCTTGCCCTCTCTGAGTTCACCCCCACAGCAATCTCTCCTCAGACCTTTCTGGGGTCTAACCTGTACTGCCTTGGGTTTGCTTTCAAGCCTATGTAAGGAAACTAGAGTAGTGGGGCCTTTTATAAAAAAACTGAAGTCACCAGTTTTCATCTGCTCAAGGGAATGTGGCCCCTCTGTGGCCCCTTGCAAGCTTACACCCATTTTGTTGATGTTTGTATTCTTCAAAACATGTTAGAAGCTCTTAAGTAATGCTGAACTCAGGGCATGCATGCAAAAGTCTTATTTCCAAAACTCTGCCCTAAGATTACTGTCTGTCAGTGAAACTTAAGGGACAATTTGCACATAAGGGAGGAGATGGGTCACCTGAGGAAGTGAGTCACCTAACACAGAGGGCTGTAAGTGTTTGGAGACATTTGGGGAACTCCCAGTCAATCCAGGGTTCTAGGGCCTTAGCTCCAGAGAGGTCAAGGTGAATCTCAGGAATCTGCATTTCAAACTGGTTCCCAGGCAAATCTGATGCAGATGTTGCCAACCTCCTCTGAGAAACAGGGGTCCTCGCTGAGAGGTATGGCTAGAAGGTGATGGATAGAGCTAAGAAAGCTGGAGAGGACGGGAGGATAAGAAAGGGGTTGCCCCTCATACATTGCGGGTGGGAGTGTAAAATGGTGCAGCCACTGTGGAAAACAGTTTGATAGTTCCACAGAAATTTAAATGTAGACATTACCATATGACCCAGCAATGCCACTCCTAGGTATATAGTCAAAGAAATTGAAAACAGGTACTCAAATACTTGTACACACGTTTGTAGCAGCACTATTCATGATAGCCAAAAGGTGGAAACAACCTGAATATCCATCGCTGGATGAATGGGTAAACAAAATGTGATATATGCACACAATGGAATATCATTCAGCCATAAAAAGGAGTGAAATGCTGATACATGCTACAATGCTATGCTAAGTGAAAGAAACCAGACACAAAAGGTGACACATTGTGATTTCATTTATGTGAAATACCCAGAATAGGTAAACCCATAGAGATAGCAAACAGACCAGTGGTTGCCAAGGGCTGGGGGAGGAGGGAATGGGAGTAACTGCTTAATAGGCACGGGGTTTCCTTTTGGGGTGATGAAAATGTTTTTGGTGGTTGCACAACATTGTGAATGGACTAAATGTCACTGAATTGTTCACTTTAAAATGACTTTTACGTTATTTGAATTTCACCCCAATAAAATAAAAAGAAGGAAAAAAAAAGCAATGGGACAGGAGATGCCAAGGACAAAGGAGCCAGCAGGGTTACTCAGCACTACCCGGGACACAGACCCTCCGTGAGGCAGTGGAAGTCTGTCGAGCTCCCCAGCCCTCCTGGGGCGATGTCCCTCCAGACTCTCCAACACCCTTAGCTCTGACTTCAGACTCACCAAGCAACCTTCTGATTATTAATGTGTCTCCTAGGTAGGTGCTTGGTGCTGAAAACAAACTTGCTGAGATGCCGGGAATGGCTGTTGCAGGCAATAGACAGGCCGGCTCCCGTTGAAGAAACACTCCCTTGGCTTCGCGGGGTACACACTCGTCCCCAGTGAGCCTGCTGCCCGCGATAGAGACAGTGCCACTTGTGGAATTGTTGTGGGAATTGTTTCTTTGGTAGCAAACATTTAGTAAGAGCCTACTCTGTGCTAGGCACTGGTTTTAGGCTCTGGGAATTCAGCAGTGAACATGATGGACACAGTCCCTGCCCTCATAGGGCTTCCCTTCTAGTGATCAAATAACACACGTGATGAACTCGACATAGTGATGGGTAAAAAGAATGCTCAATAAACAGCAGCTCTCATTGTTATTCTTTTTGTGAATGATAAGAAGTGTCTGTGATAATTTCTAAGAATTCATTCTTCCTCGTCCCAGCAGTGGTGATGGCTGCCTCCTCCCTTGGATTCGCTATCTGTGGCCCTTACCAAGACATGCCAGCTGTACCTGCTCCCACTCACCCCTTCCCTTCCCACCAGTGTCTCCCATCCTCCACAGCAATAAAATCCACTAAACAACGCTGCTCCAACTATTTTTCATGACCATGTGATTCATCATGAAGTGAAACACAATGATGGAATGCTTCTAAACACACACACATTCTTCATGGAAAATGTGTGCTTTTTGTTGGAATTGGAGGACTTGGTTCTTGGACAGAGTGGTTGGCGTGAGGCAAGACAGAGGCTGAGTGGCCTGATCTGGTCGAGCATACCCATGCTTTAGAGACACACTTTGTTTCTAAGCCCAAGTAGCGTTATCCATCAAGAACCTGCCCTCGACTGTGAGCAGGGATCACAACTCTACTTTTTTCTCTTGCCTCTGACCCTCCACAGCCTAACTCACCACTTGGCAAGCTGTAGACAATTTGTTAGTTGATCTAGTTTAAACATACACAGAGCAGGATTGGAGGGATGTTGGGAAGGCAGGCAGGATCCAGTGATGTTCTGTTTCTTGCCCTGGGTGCTGGTTACACGGACACGGTCATTTGTGAGAGTTTATCAGCCTGTATGCTCATGATCTGAGCACTTTTCTGTATGTAGATTTTACTTCAAACAAAAATGAAAATAGGGCAAATGTGTTAGATACTTGTGCAAAGATTCTTTTCTCAATGCTCTGTATGATATTAAAAATTGTAAATATCCTGCATGCATAAGAGTAGAAAACTGGTAAAATAACTTTTACTATATCTATAAAATAGACTATTATACAATTGTTAGAAATATTGATAAAGATGTATATTTATTCACTTCGAGGTGTTAAGTAAACAATATAATATGAAATAAGTTAGAAAAGAAAGTATATTCCAAAATATTAAAAGTGATCATCTCTGGGCAATACAAAAGTATGCAGAATATTGGTATAATAAAGTTAATCTGAGAAGCTCGTTAGGCACAAATTCCTGAGCCTCGATACTCAGAGATTTTCATTTAGTCATCCTTCCCAATCTCCAACCACACACACCTACCCAGGTTAATTTTTATGCATAGTCTAGTTCTTACTATGTTGGAGGGCCTTAGACCCCTTTGAGAATCTGATGTAAACTATAGATCCTTCCCCTGAAAAACAAAGGGACACACCAAGTCTTGGATACGATTTGGGGGGTGGTGGTCCATGACTCCGATTAAGAATCTCTAATGCAGAATGAGAGGTCAACCTCTTCTTCATTTTCCTGTTTTTTTTTTCCCTCAGAAGATCCCCTTGCTCCCAACTTCCTAAAGGTTGAGAACCTCTTCCAGGAGGCACAGGCCCCTGGGCCATTGCCAAGGTCAGGGCACATCCCTTTCGTATGTTCTGGTCAGGGTTGCTGTTGCCAGGCACACACTGGTGGGATATGCAGGCAGCGGGTGGGCCGCCGTGGTGGCCCTGAGGCCTGCTCCGGGAACTCGCCTGTGCTGCCCACCGTCCTCTTCCTCCTTCCGCTGCGTCCCTTGCAGGGCAGCGCTCAGAGTGCAGCCTCCTCCTGCACCCCCTGCTTCCGCTCCAGAGGGGGCAAGCCACCTTGTTGGCTGCACAAGTCGAATGAAGCTATCCCCTCTTGATGCTCCCTCTTGTTAACATCAACAACAAAAGACCCTCCATTACCTGGCACAGGTACTAGTTCATTTACGCTGCTCTGGGTCCCTACAATGAGATGGGACTATTTCATATAGTATAAATGGGAATGGGGTCAAAGCAGTGGCTTCTGCCTTTCAAGGTGGGCTCTAGGCAGCATCAGAAACTTTAGGACCCCAAGAATATTTTATGAACAGATCTTGTGAGGAGATTTCCTCTTTTTGTGTGTACCTCTAAACGTCATGGACTGCTCGGGCAGTGGACGGTTCTACAGCTTCTAAGAGAAAAGAGGCAGCCCAGAAGAGTCAAGTCCATTTGGGAGAGAGGAGGCGGTGGCACGATAACAAATGGCCTCGGCCACTAGGTGGCATCAGTGGCCAGTCTGGAAGCGCAGTTCATCCCAGGAAAAGCCAAATCCCTCTAAAGTTCCTGTTCTTCCTTTCAGCCCAGATCTGACTCCACTCTAGGGACGGGCCAATCCTTTCCACTAGAGTGCTCACACTCTGAAACCTGTGGGCACGAGTATCTGCAGGAGTCGCCATACCCTCCTTCCCTAACACCTGCCGCGTTTTTCCCCAGTGCTGCTCAGAGGAGCGCCTTGGTTCTAAGCCCCTGGTCTAGCTTCTTCCCATCTCCCCATCTCCTCTTGGATCCAGAGCTGAGCTGCCGGGCAGGATGAACCAGGGGAAGATGACATAGGGCAGGATAGAGTTTTCTTAGCCCTGTCATAATAAAAAGAAAACCCAAACACTTTTCCTTTTTTTAATATCTAAGATTAAAAAATCGAAAATTCAAAAACCAACAATCAAAACAATCCATACGGATGTTGGCAACACGCCTGGTCTCAGGTCTCCTTTCCAGTGCTGTTCTGAAGAAGCGGCACCTTCCGGGCAGCTTTGGGGCCCTGGGTCCCGCGGAGGGCCCAGGGGCGGCCGGAACCCATCCTGGCTTTCATTCCAGCACCTGGGACAACCAAGGACCCAATGTTTCAGAAAGGCCACCAGGATTGTTTTTAAAACATGTGGTTGCACAAGGAGGAAGTTTTCCCTTGAGGCTGAGCTGAGGTTATTTCTTGTGGAGAAACTTCATTTTATTGCCTAAAAACAGAAAACGAGAACATTTCACCAGGCAAAGAGGGCTGAGTTAAATTCTGCCCTTTTCACCCCAGATGTGGTATGGACAATGCCACCCCTGGAGCCTCATCTCTGTGTTCAGGAGAAGTCGGGGGGATTCGCCCTCCTGCCATTGCCCCCTGCCCTCCTCACACACCTCCCCAGTGAAAAGGGATCTTCCTCAGACTTGGGAGTTTTAAAAAAAAAGAATGTCAGAGCTGTGGACATTGCTTCTGCAATGGTGATACAAGAAGCACGGAATGTAACGCGTCCCTGAGGAGCCAAGTGAGGAGAGAACTCCCAGCAGGCGGTGGGTAGGAGGTCCCTTCCTGAGCGGCCTTCCTCCCGCGTGAGGCACAAGACTGCCCCCTGCAGGTCCTCCGTGTGCTCCTCACCGCCGCAGGCTCTTCCTCACTGGGGCCTGTCCCTCTTCCCTTTTTTGCTTTCTTCTTCTGCCTTTTCCAGTAACGGCCTTTTTACTGATTGAACCGTAGTCCTTATAATTCTTACATTTCCCCTTTTCAGGGGCATTTGGAGACTGGTCCAGGTCTTTATGCCAGACATCCTCCTCTGGCTCCATTCACCATGTGTGCTAAGCTCAATTCCCCAGAAGAGTTAAGTGTTGGGGAGATAATAGTGAAAGAAGATAGCAAGATAGCCCAGGGGCCCAGGAAAGCTGTGTCCTTTTTTACATTTGGGGGACAGATTAAAACACAAGGTTAAAATGCCCATTTTACCTGCCCAGTGCAGGCCGCAGAGCTCTGCTATTGAGGCCCCGGCTCCAGTGGAGGGAACTGGCCAAGACCCCAAGGACCAGAGGCTGCGATGGGGACTGAGACCGCTGGGCCTTACCTAGTCCCTTCAGGAACTTGTTGACACCACTGTGTTCTCCGCTGGGGAGTGTTTCCAGGTACTCTTGGGCTCGGACCTCAAACAGACCTGTGGACAAGGAAATCCCAGGCATTTTACTTCCTCCTCTTTGCATTTCTAAACGGATCCATTTCCTTACAGCCATAGAAAAGAGAAACCTTGCTTCTGAGACAAGCTGCTCCTATAAACAAGCTCTGAATCAGAAGGTTTATGAGTTTTTATTATCCTTATAATCGCCCAACCTTGTATAGTAACTGTCTTTGGAAAGCTGTAAAGCTAGCTTGTACATGAAATCCTATTTTTATTCAACAAACACCTTCCCAGTGTCTACACTGTGCCAGGCATGCGGTTTCAAAAACAAACCAGACAGTCCTGGGTCTCAGGAGCTCCTGCAGGCTCCCTTTTCCTCACATTTTCCCATAAGAGGGACCCTGGCCGAGGGACCCTGGACCCTTAGCCTCCTGAGAACCCGTCTGCCATCTGTGAACTCAGGAAGGCTGGATAGGCCTCCTCTTAGGTGCCTTCAGCTCTAACCCCTGAGGTCTGAGCCTCAGGTACTCTCTCTTCATTTCTCATTGATCTGTCATGGACAGAGGGCTCCTTCCATGCTACTTTTAAGCTTTTATGTCTCCGACCTCTCTATCAAATAGTGATCTGTAAACAGATATTTATGCATATGATTAGGAGTTGTGGGACTCATACTTGGTAATCAATTTTCTTTCGTCTCTTCAGATACCACTCATCAGAGTTACCTGAAGTGTGGCCAGCCTCTGACTTCACTTTGCAAAAAGCTCTGGGAATGTAGGGCTTTGGTTCCTTAACTTAGTGTCTGCAATCACAGCACCAGAGGACACCAAGGCCTGGGGCCAGCTGCTCCCCCAGACCCTCCCTGGTCATTGCGTGGCCACCCCTCAGAGGTAAGCATCTCTCCCCACCCCAGATTTAACTCCCGTCTGTAAAAGCCTTTACCAACATTTCTAGTTTTTAGATTCCTAAAAGGGCTTAACATAATGTAAGAAAGAGATGGGAATGATTTCATCCTCCTTTCTCACCCTCCCCCCTCCTCCATCCCTTGAAGTGTGATGGAACCCAGCAGACAAGGACAGGGAGAAGGGAGGAGAGAAAAGAAGCACTCAAAGGAGAAGAGAGAGAGGGAGAGAAACAGGTGGTCCCCGTGGTGAGAGGAAACACAAGCTCCCCGGGTCGGGAGAGTCCGCTGCTGTCCTACCTCCCCCATGGCCAGCCCGGCTGGGTGGCAGCAGGCACTCATACAAAGCGGAGGACGAGGGCCACCCTCTCCTCTTCTACCCCATCCCAGCCGGCTCCTGCCCACTAGTTCCCCCCACTCCTCCCAGTGGAGAGGGGTAGGAAAGAAGGGCAGAAGGGATGAGAGGAGGTCTGAGGAAACGGAGAAAAGGGGCCACAGAGAGAGGACGGAAAGGGTGTCCCTGAAAGTTTCATCAAGTTGGAAAGAATGGAACAAAAGGAGAACTTGCTACCAGAACCTAGAATGTGGTTCTGGGAGAGGCTAGTAGATGGGAAAGAGACGACTCGAGGAGACAGGCAGGACGTTGAGGGCAGTTTTCAATAGCTCAGAGGTGGCAAGAATGAACATTCTCCAGAGGAGGCTGGAATGCTGCTCCCATCTGTGCCTTGGCCCTGTGACCTTTCTCCTTGCTCCTCAGCCACTGGGGGCCTGGGCATCTCTAGCTGCCTTGGCCCCCATCATGAAAGACACCCCCTAACCTTTGGCATCCTGCCGTCGCAGCTCCCGCTCCTGGATGAAGCCTCGAAACGTCTGCGTCTCCATGAAAACCTCCAGGAAATGGCGGAGGCTCTTGGAGGAGACAGCTTTGCGGAAGGCCTCTCGCTGCAGAGTCCTCTCCTCCCGCTCGCCTGCCGTCAGGAACAGGGAGTAGTGGCCCACGATCTCCACGAAGAAGCGGACAAATGCTTCAGACACCACCTCGTTCAAGGGGCTGGACTCAGGGCCTGAGCAAAGTGGGGCAGGGTGAGGACCGGTGAGGGCAGAGGGCTGAGGCAGTGCCCCTGAGACTGCCAATTAGTAATACAAGTAACTGCGAGCTCCCTCGAAGACAAACTGTGACGATCCATGAAAAAGGTTACCCAAAGTCATTAAACCATTCTTTCCCCTTTTAAAAAGATATTTTAGGGCCAAAATGGGGGAGGTGGGAAAAATTTTTTCCACAATTCATTGTTAGAATGAGATCCAGATAAAGAGGCTGAGCACTCAGTCTCTCTCCTTGCGCACCCCTCTTGCCCATTTTCCTACTTAGCCCAGTGCCACGTGGAATGGATGGCCATGGTCCACTTGCTCCCTGACTCTAACCACGGAAGAGGGAGATGCAGTCTGGGAGGTGGCTGAGCATTTACCACGCTTGCAGTCCGGGACCCCTTCATCCTGGTCACTAGCCAGGTCATTCCTCTGTTCCAGAATGTGTTCCAGGGCTACCTGAAGCTTCCGGGGCAGAATGGAATCCTCGTCATCCATCTGTAAAGCAGAAAAAACGGTTAGGTCGTCGCCCCAGTGCTTCAGAGATGGTGGCTGCAACCCAGCCAGCAGGACATACTGGATATAGCACGGCAGGGCGGGCCTAGCACAGTTCCTGGTGTAGTGGAAGGAATGTGACTTAGAGCCAATGGTCTGAGGTTTGAATCTTGATTCCACGTTTTATAAGCTACGTGAGCCTCAGTTTCCCCATTTGTAAAATGGGCTACCAATCAATATCTACCTCATTGTGAAGATTAAATGCAATATATAAGACATTGATGAAAGAAATTGAAGACAATATAAATAAATGGAAAGATATCCTGTGTTCATGGATTGGAAGAATCAATATTGTTAAAATGTCCATATTACCCAAAGCCATCTATAGACTCAGTGCAATCTCTATCAAAATTCCAAAGGCATTTTTCACAGAAATAGAAAAAACAATCCTAAAGTTCATGTGGAACCACAAAACACCTTGAATAGCCAAAGAAATCCTGAGGAAGAAGAACAAAGCTGGAGGCATCACAATTCCTGATTTCAAACTATATTACAAATTGTAGTAATCAAAACAGTATGGCATTGGCATAAAAACAGACACACAGATCAATGGACAGAACCAAGAGGCCAGAAATAAACCTGCACATATATGGTCAACCAATATTTGACAAGGGAGCTAAGAATATTCAATGGGGAAATGATGGTCTCTTCAATAAATGCTGTTGGAAAACTGGACAGCCACATGTTAAGGAATGAAATTGAACCCCTATCTTACACCACTCACAAAAATTAACTTGAAATGGATTAAAGACTTACGTGTAAGACCAGAAACTGTAAACCACTAGAAGAAAACATAAGGAAAAAGCTCCTTGACATTGGTCTTGGGAACAATTTTTTGGATATGACACCAAAAGCATAAGCAACTAAAGCAAAAATAAAGAAGTAGGACTACATCACACTAAAAAACTTCTACACAGTGAAAGAAACAATCAGCAAAATGAAAAGGCAAACGACGGAATGGGAGAAAATATTTGTAAACCATATATCCGACAAGGGGTTAATAACTAAAATATATAAGGAACTTGTACAACTCAATAGCAAAAAACAAAAAAACAAAACCCAAGCAATCTGATTAGAAAAATGGGCAAAAGAAGTGAATAGACCTTTTTCCAAAGAAGACATAAAAATGGCCAACAAGTACATGAAAAGATGCTCAACATGACTAATCATCAGGGAAGTACAAATTGAAACCACAATGAGATATCATCTTACACCTGTTAGAATGACTATGATCAAGAAGACAAGAGCTAAGTGTTGGTGAGCCTATGAAGCAAAGGGACTTATGCACTGTTGTTGGAAATGTAAATTTGGTGCAGCCACTATGGAAAACAGTATGGAATTTCCTCAAAAAATTAAAAATAGAACTACCATATGATCCAGTAATCTTACTTTTGGGTCCAAAAGAAGTGAAATCACTACCTTGAAGAACTATCTGAACCACCATGTTCACTGGAGCATTATTGACAATAGCCAAGACATGGAAACAACCTAAGTGTCCATCAATGGACGAATGGATAAAGAAAATGTGATTATATTTTCCGTAAAAAATATAATAGCCGTAAAAAAGAAAGAAATTCTGCCTTTTGTGACAACACGGACAGACCTTGAGGGCACTATGCTAACTGAAATAAGTCAGAAGTAGAAAGACAAATACTGTATGTTCTCACTTGTATGTGGAATCTAAAAAAGCCGAATTCATAGAAACAGAGAATAGAACGGTGGCTGCCAGGCGCTGTGGGGTGGGGGAAAGGTTGGTCAAAGTGTACAAACTTCAAGCTATAAAATGATTAAATTCTGGGGATCTAATGCACAGTATGGTGACTGTAGTCAACAGTAATACATATTATATACTTGAAAGTTGTTAAGAGAGTAGATCCTAAATGTTATCGCCACATAAAAAAGGTAATTACGTGAGGGCATGGAGGTGTTAACTAACCATATTGTGTTAATCATTTTGCAGTATACACATGTATCAAATCATCATGTTGTACATCTGAAACTTACATACGTTATATGTCAATAATACCTCAATAAAGCTCAGGGGAAAAGATTAAATGCAATACAATTACCTTGGGAAAGTACTTGGCACGTAGTGGCTACTCAATAAACGTTTCCCACTGCCCCCACCCTGTAGAGGGGCTAGTGACAATCAGGGGACTCTGCTCAGGGCAGATGACCAGTGTGACTCAAAGCTGGCTTTATGATCTGGGCCTCAGAGTAGGAGGGCCTCAGGGAAGTGCAAGTAGATGGAACTAGTGATAAAAAACTGGTATTAGCACAACAGAACTTTCCAGTAGTGTGGCAACTCCAAGTTTAAAAGCAACCCCTCAGAATGCCCAGAAAACCTTTCTGTAATGATTCTTTGCAAAATCCAGTAGTAGACCTCTCTGGCAAGTGATAACGAGAAAGTAAATGTGCATTACTTTCTCTGATAATGAAAGTACTAGTTTATGATCATTACAGAAAATACATGAAAGTATTAAAACAATTTAAAATCACTCATAATCCGTCTCCCTTTCAGTCTCCCACCCCAAGACAACCAGCATTAATGTTTTGCTGAGTTTTCCTTTCAATCTTTTTTAGAGGCATATATACATTTTTTCCTTGTCTTTTTGTCTCCTTTTTTAGAAAACAAGATAGCACAATTATGTATAAAATTTTGTGTCCTGATTTTTTCCACTTAATAATCGTGAACTTTGTTATTAAATATTCTTTAAAAGCATGTTGAAAAAGACAAGTGTCTACAGTTATAACCTACACAAAAATTCTAATTGTTAGAAAACCATTTTGTGACAGAACACGTGGGAATCAATCCTTTGCCCAAACCCCTCCTCTTCGGCCCCTGCCTTCTGTCTCACCCTCAGTCCAGCTGTGGCCTGTTCTGTAATCCCAGGCCCACCAAGGAGCCTTTCCAGACCCAGAGAGCAGAGCCCCAAACAACAAAGAGGTGAAAAGAGAGACAGCAGCAGGTTGAAGCTGGCCTTCTTACTCACCTGCCTGAGGAACCGATTGTTGACGAGGTCGACCACAAGGACCTACGAGACGAGGAAAAAGGACTATTATTGTCACCAGGGTTTCTGGGATACAGCGATAGACTCTTAGCCTTTGTCCTTCTTGGCACCCAAAGAGCCAGCTGGGGTGGGGGTGGAGTGGGCCATTTGTGGTTTCCTGACACTGCCACTGTAGCTGCAAATGATGAAGAGGAGAGGTGGGGGGCAAGGGCCTTCCTGAATTACATGCGTTCAACACTGAAATGGCAGGCTGGGCATGTGTGTGGGACTCCCTGCCCTGTTCCCGGACTGGCTCAGGCAGAGCCTCTCAGACTGTTGTTCTAGCATGTGGGTTACTGAGGTGGGCGAAAGTGGCTAGAGGCCCACTTGTTCCCATTCCACTTGACTCTGCCCCTCCCCACCTCCAGGGCTTCCTCCTCCTTCCTCCCAGCTACCCACTCAGCCTTGGCATTTCTTTTAATGGGACAGAAGGAGAGAAACCCAGAGGAGTGGTTCCACTGGAGAGTAAATCGAGCTGCAGGTGGCGGGCTTTCTTTGGTCAAGGCTCTCAGGATAAAGCACCTTCCCCCTCCCTCCTCAGAGAGGGGCTGAGACCCAGGGCCAGAACTAGGGTAAGGCAAGTGAGGTGCCTAGGGTGCAAAACTTAAGGCAGCACTCATTTGTGGGGTCATGCAAGCGCTGGGCCTTTGCTTGCATGACCTGAGAGTGAGACCCTCACTCAGACCTCAGTGTAGGCCACTGGCTATGACAGAGGAAGAGCACGGGGCCTGGATGGCCATCATGTTTCCATCAACAGCTGGAAACATGAGCTCTAACACAGCCCAGAGACCCCGTCCACGAGCTGAGGGAGCTCTCTCCTTCCTTCTCAAACACACTTCTGGGGTTGAACTGAGCCATTTTAGGGATCACAGGGTACCCAAACAAACTCCTTGCAGTTCACAAATCCACTCTTCAAGATCTGAGTCTGCTGTTTAATATTTAATGGGACTTCAGACTACCTGGGCAATTAGACAAGCCACATCTGGGTCCTGGGCTGAATTTCAGGGACAGGCGTTCCCTGGGCGGTTCAGGAGGGAGTGGCATCATTTAGTCCCTTGCGGTTCCCTCTCTGACTGCTGGAAGTTTTCAGTACTCGGAGCAGAGACTATTTAGAGGAAGGGGCTGGGACTAAATACCTACAAAAATGCCCAGTAGGACCTTCCCCACTTGGATGCAAATCTGAAAACCTGGAACTTGATCATTAAAAACATTTTGGTTGTCTTTTTAACTGATATGAAAAAGGACCAATTTGTAGGAGCACAGTCTTTGTCAACTTTATTGCTAGTCCAAATATAAATTCCAGTTATTGTTAGCTCTTCGTGTGCTTTCTCCCCTCAGTGGCGGGGAGTGGGAGGGAAGGAAGGATAGGGTGGATGGCTATTTATGGTGTTTTAACATCTGGTTAAGTTGTTGATTGCTGCCCTTCTCAATGGGCGTGCATGCCAGTAGGTTCATTTAGAGGGGAAAACCGAGTTTGCAGTCCCGAGGGTCTAGTGAGGCAGACTTGAGGGGTCTATCTCATACACAAAGCCGTGCGCTCCCCACCCCCTGCAATCCCCTGACGCTGCTTGCTTGCCGAGCCTTAGCTAGCACCTCCCCTCTGCCCCCGGCCCCCCTCAAGGACACCCCCGGAGCTCACCTCTTCCAGCGGCAGCTCCCTGAGCAGCGGCAGCGAGCTGGTGAGCAGCCCGATGAGGAAGGGGGTTGGCGAGCACACGATGTCGATCATGGCGGGCGGGAGCACGGGGATGTAGGTGTGCTGCCAGGTGAAGGGGTAGATGACTGCCACCATGGCGTGGCAGCACTTGGACAGCGTGCTGCAGCCGGGGAGAGAAGGGAAAGGGCCAGTTCAGGGAGGGCACGGAGAATGGGCCTGCTCGGGCTCGCAGGGTGGGCAGCCTCCATGAAGAAGCCAGAGAGAAATGTTTGCACTTGATCCCAGAGGCATGTTGGTCAGAAAAGGCATCACACACATATTGGGTGTGTCACGTAACACAGTCCCAAGGCAGGTTATATGAGGCACGTGGAGCCTCTGTGAGGCTTCGAGACACAGCTAAAGGGACAAATTTCATGCCCTGGCTAGTGTGCCTTCACACATGAGCTACCTTCTTGTAAGGTTCTGACCAAATCATTCACTCCCACCCCTCTTCCCCACCCCCACCCCCAACAACAACTAAACCTCTTTTCTCATGGATGCTCCTTCTCTTATTGAAGATGCTTTATAGTCTAACACTATAGCTTTTTCTTTGTTCTCTCCCACACATTCTCTCAGCCAAGCAGGAACACCTGGGTGGGATCAGGACAATTGGATCACTCCTTTGGTACCCACAGGGCAGCAGGCAGCTCCAAATGGCTGTTCTGTAAAAGTGAAATCCATGTACAGTTACCCCTTACCCAGAATCCGAAACTTAAAAGAATACCAACATTGGGAGAAAGAGTGGGAGTCTCTCTTCAAGAATAACAATCCTAACGGAGCCTTTTGTTGGCAAGCACTGAGCCTTATTAAGCACTCTCCACAGCACTTCGCACAGTGCCTGGATTCATGCGCAGTGTGTTGAATGAATGGATGGATTATTCGAGATTATCTTTTTTTTGTGTGTGAGGAAGATCAGCCCTGAGCTAACATCCATGCTAATCCTCCTCTTTTTGCTGAGGAAGACCGGCTCTGAGCTAACATCTATCGCCAATCCTCCTCCTTTTTTTTGTTTTCCCCCAAAGCCCCAGTAGATAGTTGTATGTCATAGCTGCACATCCTTCTAGTTGCTGTATGTGGGACGCAACCTCAGCATGGCCGGAGAAGCGGTGCGTCAGGGCGCGCCCGGGATCTGAACCCGGGCCGCCAGCAGCGGAGCGTGCGCACTTAACTGCTAAGCCACAGGGCCCACCCGAGATTATCATTTTGAGTATCAGCTCTACTGTGCTGCAAGACAGTGATGCCTGGCGGCCTTCTGAGTTGAGGGAGAGCTGACTTGCTCTTCTTCTTTGCAATCATTTCTTGTTGCTAGTGAGCCTGCTTATAGCAGCTCCTCACTCCCATCATTCTAATATCCTGCTCCTGAAATGCTATGAGATTGGAAACTTTAGAAGCTTGTTAGAAGCATGTGTAATCTAAGAATAAAATAAAAGTGAGGGCCTGGTGGGTCCTCCTGTGCGTGTGCTGCGTCCTCTTCAGGGTGTGTGCCCTGTAACCAGCATTTCGTTTGTTAGGCTGCCTTTGGAACCTTCGCCCTGGTTCTCAGCTGTGCTCTGTTTAGGTTGGGTGGCAAGGAAGCTGAGCTCTGGAGCTCCTTTACTGGGTTCCCATGATGTCAGGCACCTATAATCTCATTGTTATAAAGCTTCCCTGAGCCCATTTAAAAAAATCACTTAGGGCCGGCCCTGTGGCTTAGCAGTTAAGTGTGCGCACTCCGCTACTGGCGGCCCGGGTTCAGACTCCGGGCACGCACTGGACACCCGCTTCTCCAGCCATGCTGAGGCCGCGTCCCACATACAAGGATGTGCAACTATGACATACAACTATCTGCTGGGGCTTTGGGGGAAAAAAAAGGAGGTGGATTGGCAATAGATGTTAGCTCAGAGCCGGTCTTCCTCAGCAAAAAGAGGAGGATTCGCATGGATGTTAGCTCAGGGCTGATCTTCCTCACAAAAAAAAAAAAAAAAGATTTTCCATCTATAGTATGTATATGGACTCTCAATTTTTTCAGAGTTAAAATTCAATAACATCTTAAAAATAAGCCTTAGA